TGATGAGTGGTGTATGATGAGTGGTGGTTGAACAGCTGTTGAATGTCCGTAACACGGAAGTTTTGCACACTAAACTTCCTTTGAAAATATGGATGCGTGGGAGCACAAAGCCACACACCAGTTACAACGAAGAACCGCCAGTTTCGGACTGCCCTGAAACTCTGCCGCCTCCGAAGTGGATTCCTAGAGGAAGGTCGTCGACCTTCACACTCTGGCCTTGCCATGAGCAGTCTTGACTGTTCGCTTGTTTCTTTGTATGAGTGTGTTTGTGTGTATGTGGTGGGGCTGTGTGGGTGGCATGCTTGCTTGATTGTGACGTGCTCAAGTTAAAGCAAGGTCTCAATCCCCAATTTGTAGCCTCGCTTTGATGAGTTGCAAGTTGATAAAATTGGTTCAAGATTCAAGCCGCCCTCTTTCTTCTTCTCCGCTGTCCTCATTGGTCAGGCTCCTGCTTGAAGGGTCTTGGCGGCTCCTCGTCCTACAACATCGCAAAGCGTGCTCCCTGAAGCAAATTGTAATATGTGCCGTGTTTGTCGCTTTTCAATTCTTTATGGCGGCCCTGCTGGACCAGCTTCCCGTCGTCTATCACAACAACCTGATCAGCTTGCTCACACAGAGTCACCCGGTGCGACACTATGAGAATGATCGTGTTCTGCTTCCTGGCCAACCTCATCAAATGCTCAAAGATATTCATCTCTGTTTCCACATCAAGTGCCCTTGTTGGCTCGTCCAACAGTAGAACCTGAGGCTGTCCAATAGTGGCACGAGCAAGCCCTATCCGCTGCCTTTCACCACCACTCACATTGTCATTGACCACAATGTCATTCAACCGTGAGAGAAGATCGGAACCCTCAACCTGCTTCAAAAAGTTTGTGATGATTGTCTCACTGAAATTCCGATGCATAGTAATGTTCTCCCTCAGAGTGTCTGGGAGTAATGGAACGTTCTGCCGCATCAAAGCAACCTCCCCGATCCCCGAGATATCACCACTGTGTTCAACCTCGCCTGCAAGAGCACGCAAAAGTGTGCTTTTGCCTGAACCGCTCTTTCCCACGATTGCTATCAACTGGCCATGTAATGCCTCAAATGAGACATTTTGTAGCAGGAATGCATCATTCTTCTGCACTGTCAAATTCTTGACCACTACACGACATTGGTGGCGAGTACAGACTGGGTTAGGAGACATTTCAGAAAGTTCAGACGACTTTGTAAGCTGATTCACGGTCTTGAATGTCTTACTGGACATGGTCACACGAATGAAACTCTGCAGCAAGTCTTTGAGCGAAAAAGCCAAGTTGATGCTTAGGCCAAAAGTAGTGTATTAAGCAGCAAATGGCACCTGCCCTCTCATCACTTGTCTGCCAATGAGGAAGTAGGCAGCAACGAAATTGACACTTTGACGCCAGCTGTCGAGCATCTGCCATTGCTGCCGTAGCACTTCCGGAGCAAACTCTTTGTCAATTCCATCTTGCATGTCTGCTGCCAGCTTAAGGCTCCTCTCCTTCGTTGCATTATAAGCTCGCGTTTCTTCTGCGACTCCAAGTTCAGCCACAACCCCATTTGCCACCTGCCTCGATGCCTCTGTGACCGTTGCTCCTGCAGGTCCGACCTTGGCTTGCACCTTGAGGCTGCAAACCACCCCAACAACAAGAACGCACATAAGCGCTAGATAAACCTGTCGAAAATGAACTTCTCTTCGGTTCACCAGCTGCCACGCAATAAATCCCGAGAAAATGACGCACCCAACAAGTCCTCGAAGAAATTCGTTCAAAATGCTTCTTAGCCCATCTATCTCCTGGCTGAACAACGCAGCTGCTGCGCCCTCAGACAAACCTTGTGTTGATTTCAAAACCAAGCCAAAGGCTTGCGTCTGAAGGGACAACTTGATGGAATTGCTAGTCTTCTTGCAAAGCAGGTTATAAGCTCCTTGACACACCGGCGATAACAGCAATATCAATAAGACCTTCCGCATCCTCGGCCAAAACTCTGCCCTATTTCCGGCAAGGAAGCAATACTGAGTGAGCTCTCCTGTGAATTGCTTCTCCAAAGCTATGCAAAAGCAGCCAGCCACCGAAAAGAGAACCATCCACTGAATACCGTACTTATTCCTCCATGCCTGCTTTGCTAGTTCATGAGGACCCAGCAAGCCCTGGGCAGTGTCTGTTGCCCTTGCTGGTCGCAAGGGCATCCTCTGGTTGGGAGGTGGGCGAGACAACGGCAGGAAGCAGGTCGACGCCCAGGCCACCGTGCAAAGTAGGGCGAAGCGGCAGGCTGGTCGAACCATCAGCTTTTACAAAAACTACAAAATGTCAGAGCCCAGTTGTCTTGAGAATCTTTGCGGCTCAGACAAGTTCGGATATCAGTTCACGTGCATCAAAAGATTCAAAAGGCAGTTCACACTCAGAGCTATCACAAACTCTCAAGAACTCAGTAGACCAAGCGATCAGTTGAGTTGGCAACTTTGTCAGTCTCTTCGGGTTCTATCTCTACCTCTATCTCTCTTTCCTGCACACACTGTCTTCATCCACTCCACGCCTTTTGCAATTCTGCTTCCAGCTCACTGGAGGTTCCTCAACCTGAAGCTCAAAAGGGAATACCGTTCCTCCCCATCAGTGAACCCTTGTCACCTGATCACCTGACGTGTGCCCCTGATATCAACCAAATTTGCCGTATTGCTAATATGTTGAACTCATTGGGGTAGCTATGTCACTCAAGTTATCCGTGTTCCTGCCGATTCCAGCCTCAATCTCCGGCTCAAGGACTGCTTCAAAACTCTCGAATCCCTGGGGGCATCATCAAGCTGTCTGTGTTGGGTCGCACATGTTTGATTTCCCGTTGTACACTTTGATCATCTTTGATCTGCCAGAGTGCCTTCTCTGGCAGCTCGCGGATTGATCAACTGTTCTTGCGTTTCGATAGTGTTGGCAATGCCTTGAATCAGTCCGACAATCTTGCAAAGCCATATTAAAAACCAGCCACAACCAGAAGCTGAAAAAGGATATACAGAAGACACTGCCAAAACGCAAGAAGACACCTCTTCTTTACAACAACCTTGCATACAAGCTAGAACTTCTTGAGCCTTCGTGGAAGTGCAGTACAGTATGTAAATCTCCCTCTCGTTCCAACCCTTCCAGCGTTTAGGGCTGAGAAATTCACCACCACCCTCTGCGAAGCGTTTGGTGCGATCACTAGGCCACGACCTCAGATCGACTCAGCCAACCTTATGGATGGCATCTACGATTAAATCTTTGTCCAGATTGATAAGCTGACTCGGTAGTGAGAACCCACCTTGGATTTGCTCCAACAATTTGTATGCTGGTTGATAAATCAGAAAAAGTAACATGTAAAAAAAAACACAGAGTTTGAATGTTCGCGATCTTCGCGCCCGAAAAAGTGGTGACGCACTGAGCACTTGACGTGGCCTGCACATCTTGGAAACCTTGACTGGCTCGGGCCTTGAGTTGGGAGAAGCAATGCACTCGAGTAGTGGACGCCACAATTCATCTGGTTCAAGGCTTTGCCAGACCCGCCATCTGCAAAGCCCTCATGCAAATCAAGAAACACTGCGAAGTGCGAGTGGGTCACCGCCCAAGTTGGCAGGCCTGGCCTGGATGACACGACTGCCTCGGAGAAGCACGCCTCCTTCCAGGGTAGGTTGCTTGACACGAAGATTGATGCTCAGAAGACAACTACAAAAACGGAACATGAATATCACCTGACTGAGCGATATTTCACCTATACATATCAATAGACACGTGTGTGTGTGTGTGTCCACCCCTGGACAAAGGGTTTCCTTCGACCACTCCAATCAGGCAGGGGGGCCAGGCCTGTCACATCCAACCTGGCCCAACGAAGCTAGGATGTGACAGGGGAAGCACCAAAGGACGCTTTGGTGTGTACCTGCCGATTTCTCCACAAGCTGTGACTCCACTTTCCACGCTTTTGGTTCATGGTTCTTCATGATACTTCCCCAAAACCTTCCCTTTGCCGCGTTTGTCTTGCAGCTGAGCCGCGCCGACCGATCGTTCAGCAGACTTGACCAACAACTTGTTGAAACACCTACAAGTCTTTCGGACTCTTCACCATGCAGTTCTGTCACCTTCCTTCCCAGCGTGGTAACTGAGTTCACTGAATACAAGTGTCAGAGTGTCTTTCGCTCAGCCGTCCCACTCGGGTGCTGAGTGTGATCCCCGTCACAGGGGCGCCGTTTTTACATGGGAAAGCAACCACCCCAAAGCACCACCGCTCTTTGGACCCTCACTGGCAGTCACCGACACCCCCACTGAATCAACCGATACACTGGCCGCCGGGCCCAAAAACGGTTACTTTCGAATACATCAGATTTCGGAGACTGAAGAACTCAAACTCGCTAGCCTGAGCATACTTGACGGCTAAGTATTCACATGCCTGCGCTGCTAAGTATTCACAGGCCGGATGAATTCATCATGCACACCCCCCCCCCCCCTCCCTACCCCCAGGCCTCCGTTGCTATCCCACCCGCTACTCGGGAAACAGAAGGAAATCGCACTCAACACACTTGTGTGTTGGTGCCTTTCCTTCTGTTTCTCCTAGCTATTGCTAGCTACCCGGGCGGTTTAAGACGAATGTCCCGCTCGCCTTCTACTTTCGTTTAACTAAGTGGGCCTCGTAACTACCCTACTTTTCTCTCTTGCCCTCTTAGTCTGCTCTTGTTTCGTTGCTTTTTCTGTCTTTCTAAGGCTTTTTAGGTGTCTACTAGTTCTTCGTTGCGCCAACAATTTGGCGCTTTTTGTACAAATGTTCCCCTGGGAGTTAGGACGCTACTGGAGGCCCCTGGCCTTACTACTACTTTGACCGCGCCGAAAACGGCTCTGTGTGTGTGTCCACCCCTGGGCAAAAGGTTTTCGTCCACTGGTTCAACGGTAGGGGGTGTCTTGAAAAAGCGCCGAAGCCGGCGACTTGTGTGTGTCCACCCCTGGACAAAGGGTTTCCTTCGACCACTCCAATCAGGCAGGGGGGCCAGGCCTGTCACATCCAACCTGGCCCAACGAAGCTAGGATGTGACAGGGGAAGCACCAAAGGACGCTTTGGTGTGTACCTGCCGATTTCTCCACAAGCTGTGACTCCACTTTCCACGTTTTTGGTTCATGGTTCTTCATGATACTTCCCCAAAACCTTCCCTTTGCCGCGTTTGTCTTGCAGCTGAGCCGCGCCGACCGATCGTTCAGCAGACTTGACCAACAACTTGTTGAAACACCTACAAGTCTTTCGGACTCTTCACCATGCAGTTCTGTCACCTTCCTTCCCAGCGTGGTAACTGAGTTCACTGAATACAAGTGTCAGAGTGTGTGTAAACAGGTCAGGTGGGCATGCAGTCACGCATTGACTGACATGCTTTACGTCAATGCTGCCTTGTGGCTTCAAATCTTGAGCTTTCATGATGTAAAGAAGGGCTTAAGTGACTACGGACGTCATGAGACCACAACGTATCAGCTTCGATGTCCTACTGTTTCCTAAGTTCACGCAACTTTAGGACCAATAATGCCTTGCGAAACGCTACGGTTTCTCTTCTCTCTTTTCTCTTCGCGACTCTCTTGTCATGCACTAGAGTCACTAGAATAGAATCAAACCCTGTAGACTTGATGCGGATCTTCCTCGGTCTCATTGTTCTCATTTTCTGCTTTCTTTCTGGCATGTGTCTGGTGATGTCTTGTGTGAGCATGCAACAATGCACTTCTCACCGCCTTTGCATCCAGTTCTACCTTGGCGAAGAGCCGCCGGAACCGCTCGGCTAACCTGCCCAAGGTGAAACCGAGGAAAACCCCGGCATCTTAGTATCCTCCACAAGAGCTGCTTGGCTGCTTGAGGTAATCACTCAATGAATTCATGTGCCGTTTTAGTTCAGCCTTGAGCAAACTCTGTTTAAATGGACCCGAGGAAGGGGCAAACATGGTTAAGTTAAACTTATCATTTGCTGGACCTCCTGGTTGTCAGATGAAAAATCTGTCACTTCAATTGGGTTATAAATCTCACTTTACAAACCGGTTTAAATCTCCCTTTCGCATCGGCGCACCCAGTGAGATGCAGATGCTTTGGCAAAGCTGGGCCAGGTAATGTGAGCACGCCCTGTCCAGCGAGCACGGAGCAACACTCCACTCTAACCCCTTTCAACGACAGGAAATTCCTTTGAAGAAATGATTCGGATGAAAAACGAGAAACGGCAACACACAGGACCTCAGGACACATGAAACCTTGTGCTCACCACTTGTGGTTCCTTGTACCGATTCTCGGGGAGTCCATACCACGACATGCTCCACCTGCATTGAAGCAGTTGGAGCCTACAACATCTGTTTCCATGCAATTCATGACTCGTTGAGTTATACTTCAAAAAGCCTGATCTCACACACATACATTTTTTTGTAGTGTTTTAGGAACTTTGGGCCCCCCCAAGCACGCAAAGACGTCTACCGTCTGCTAAAAACAATGTCCACAATCGGGGACTTCTGAGTGAAAAGTATTTGTTCAACCGCTCCCACCTTTCTGCTCTTCGCCACCTCAGTGCCTTCGCAGGACAAGGCAGTTCAGTCATCACCTTGCTGAGCTCAGCTCAGCTAAAATTAAAAGCCAATTCAATCCGACTCAAGTTCTGCCTCCAATGATGAGATGTCGTAGATCCACCTGGAAGCACAGAACGCCGTATGCATCGCATGTTGGTGTGGCCATGCAGTCAGGTTGCTTTGAGGTACTCACATAGGTACACTGTACCTGATACAGTATCTGGTGTGTCTACCGTTGTGTAGTGATGCCAACATTGGAGTGGCGAGGAATCCGAAAAAAATCATCGATTCCCAAGTTGCCACGCCTGGCGATTTGGCAACGCCATGGGGATCACACTGAGGCATCGCGAGGATTGAGTGTATCAAACTTCCAATACGGGCAAATAAGGATTTCAAGATTGTGCTGGTAGTGCTAATTGTAGACTAGGGGTTTGGGTCGGAGGATATTTATTGATATTCTGTGTAATTACATTGGCAGACTCGTTGGCAAACCAGAAGTGGAAGAGTGTGAAACCAGGCGCTGCTCTGGACTTGCAATCACTCAGCTAAAACGGCTGCGAGGCACTGCAAGGTGTTAAGTGAATGTTACAGCCTCTCGACTCCTGACCATGTGCTTGCTCACCTCCCCTTTAGAAGAACCGAGTCGTTTCTGATCCTCTGCGAGTATTCACTTCCTCTACTTGGCACCTTGAGAACCGAAAAGCAAATCAAAGGTCGAACACGCCTGAAAAGCTTTCGGCTTCGACCTCAGTACTTCCATGTACAGCCTGTCTTTTCCAAAACAAGTCACTCCAGCGGCTACAGCTTGCGAGCTTCAGGCTTGCTTGCCTTGTGGTCGATGCAGCTGTGCAACTGAGATGTTTAGTGGACGGTGTGAAGAGAGAAACGTTTCATCGAGTCAAAACTGCTTCACCACCCCCAAAAGAATCCAATCTGAATTGCCAGCATCTTAAAATTCCAGTTCCTTATATATAGCTCTCAGGATGCTGTGAAGTCCCGTCGCTTTCCCCTCTTGAGGAGTGAACTTACCTTGTGCCTCGTGCCAATCCCTTGTCATTCAACTCAGCGACTTAAGAAAATGTTGTTGTTTAATTCTATATCTGGGTGGGTCGCGAGTCTGAACGATGCACCGCAATAAAAGGACTTGAACTTCTATTGACCTGTCGGCAACTTGTTTGCTTCAATAGAAATGCTGGGCCTTTGAATTTTGCAAATTCCGCCCATCGACATGAATCGACCATCCATCCATTGATCTGGCCTATCTACTCAGTCGACTCTGCAGTCCTTGAGCTGATCCCCCTTGATTCTTGATGATCAAGGGCACGTCAAATGCACTGTTCAGTTCGTGGTTAAAACTCTGATACCTGGCTTCGCAGCCTGAGTGAGTGAGAAAATTGGCGAGCAAAACTCTATCTTGCTGATAAAAACAACGCTTTGTTGAGAATTCCTGGTCCTGCCTCCCACCACCAAGGTCTCTCACTGTGCTAGACTTGGGTCATGCTGAACCTGAAAAAGGTTAGACTGATTAACAACTTGCCTTTCAGCAAACATGGTGTTGTCGGTTTGCGTAGTCCTTCTTCGAGCGGCATCTTTGCACGCCCCTATCAATCAGGCCTTATTTGCACTTTCAATGGCTACATGCCCGCCATGATACTTTGTCCAGTTTAAGTTTAGCTGTGTAATCGAAGGATTAGCGTGGACGGTCTAAACATCCAAATATATTAAAATTTGACTGACCAGCTACACTGACATTCTGATCAGCTCAAGCTGCTAAGCAGTGGCGGCGGGCAGTGATCGTTTCTTTGGAGCCAGGCCAAATCCAAACACCCAAATCGTTCAAAAGGAAATAGCGGATTAGCGATATCAATGACCCCCCTGCCCCTGCCGTTTACAACAAACACAGGAGGTGGTCTTGCAAAAGGTAAAGGGCTGAGGCCTAACATTGTGGACGCATGCGGACACTATAATCCTGCTTGCTGCTGGGGGAGGCTTCAAGAAGGTATCCGGTATCCTTTTCTATGAAGCAAATGACATCAAATGTGTTTTGCTATGTATCTTTCAATTGCCGTCACTGCCACACTGAAAGCCTGGCCGTGCACAACCACTCACAGAAACTACCGAATCTCTGGGATCGTCTTGATCCTGTGAATTCATCCTCAAGACTCCTGATCGTTCTGAGGAGGAACATTAAATTAAATAACTGCTTGCCAGCAGCAGCTGCTGCAGCTGGAACTTTACTTGAATTTTTGGGGACTGATTTGAGAAAGACTCAATCCACATCTTGCCCCACACATGCTCACATGCCCGGATGCCCTGAACCGAGTGATTTACTCACCTAGACGTATTCACGGCTACCCCACTGCACCAGCTGTACTTTGTCCGGCGCCTATCAATCGTTCACCCGGCAATCCCAGAAACAACAGGATTTGCGTACCTCAACCATGCGCTTTCATCCAGATGCCGCGAAGTGCCTGCTAGTTCCTCTCTGCCCATTCTGCCTCATGAAAACCTGTTTGAGTTTGTCTTTGATACTGTGTAGGCCAGAACAGTCTGCGGAACTGTGATCTTCCAACTACTGCAGTTAAGCCTCCATCTATACGTCTGAGAACGCACAGACTCTGAAGTCGGGACAGCAGTGCAATCACAAATCATGGCGCGAAAAGCTCCTAGTAGCATCCTTGTTCCTAGTAGTAAGGCCAGGAGCTCTTAGCAGCGTCCTTGTTCCTAGTAGCGATGCCCTTTGCTCCTAGTAGCGGCCTCTCTGAACATTCCTTCATCTGAGACCCACACCGTCTGCTCATGAGCCTGCCACTCTTGCCCGGGCCAACATCTTAGCTGTTCACAAGAACAGTCGACAAGAGTCCAGTTGAGTGTGCACACTACTTTCCCGAAGGAACTGTGTGTATATCCCAGGACTTACGGCTCCCTTTTGCTTGCTCATTTTCTGCATTCTTCTTGTAACACTTTGACTTGTTGCCCCGCACAAAACGTCCTACTGTACCTGCATCCTGACACTGCCCAAACTCTGCATTCTGACTATGGAACTCCCGCAACTCCCAAATATATCCCTCAACTTCAAAATCAAGCATGGCAATGCTCCGGAAGTGTTGCAAGATATCTACTCTTCTCCAACTGTCAAACTTGGCTTCTTGCCAGTCGGCAGGCCACTTTGGCAAGTCAAGGCCCATTATCCTTTCTTAAATAATCATGCAAGGTGGATACTTTTCCAACATATCGCAGAACAAGGGTAACGGTGATCCTGCTGTCTAAAGCCCTACAAACTCATGCATATTTCAGGGCAAGCTCCCCAGTAGGAATAGAAAAATATGGTGTTTGTCAATGTTGTCAGCTGTATTGAGCTGACACATACTATATCGTTTCATGATTCCACCTCCAACGCCTCCGACACGTTGGTGATTCGCCGGCAAATGGCCTCGATTTTGATCTCGGTCTCACCCGGCATCTTCTTCGGGGAGAGGGTCCGAAGAAACTCGCTGGTGGCCCTGAAGCATTCACAAAGCAGTGGTGGAAAACGGTGCGGATGTCTTTGATTGGCTAAAAACGCGCTACTGGAAACTGTTCAAGCCTGATAAAAGTGTACGATTCAATCTTTTTTGGAATTGTTCTTTTTGGTGTCTTCCCTCGCCAACCCGGAACCTCCTACCTGTAAGTGCGCCGTAAATGTTGATTTGTCCGCGGTCTATCGCTCTTGTGTTGTTTCTTTTGAGGCGGTTTGTTCTCCACCTTACATTGTTCTTTTCGGCCTGCCCCACCCCTCTGACCTTTTGGCACAAAAGGTTTTGACGTGGAGTTTTCGGTTCATCGCGCGCGCTCTCCCTCTCTCTCTCTCTCTCTCTCTCCTCTCTCTCTCTCTCTCTCTATCCGCTTTCTTCTCTGTTCTGGTTTGATTAGCCGTAGGGCATGGGGCTGCCAGCATTATCCAAATAGACCATGACATGTACTGTACATTTCCAGATACCCTGGCAGGCAGTTGGTCACGCAACTCAACGTTGAGCCCTTGGTCAAACTGGTATCGTTTTCGCATCTCCTCTTCCCCCATGCTTTGATAAGTCATGACAAATCATATTAACAACTAGTTAAATCTCAATGACTCTCACAAAACCACATTGAATGCGCACACACAGCCCTAAAAATAGGCACACAAAACCTACGGCCTTTAGACATCCAGATTGCAAATTCAGCCGAGGGGCTCTTGCACGGTTGCCAGAGGCCTGCAAATGCACTTTTCTTGGACCTCAAGACAAGACCTGCCCTCCACCCAGGCGACCTACTAAGTACTAAGTACGGACACTTGCGGCAACGGTACCAACTCTTCACTTCAAAAGCCTGTTGGAGCACACTGCGGTTTCTACCTCCAAGTCTCCCCAATCAGTTGATATTGAAAGCTTTGGACTTAGGGTTGACTTAGAGTATATGTACAGCAAACGCTTGGAACTGTGAGCTAGTCCTGTGTGGAAAGAACTCCGTAGGAGTTCACGCCTTTTTCTCAACTGACCTGACATGGCTACAAGATCAGTTTTCGATCAGCCACGCATGCAATGCAGCTTTTCCCACCTAAACCACGATCACCACAACTGCGCCAAGCTACCTCTGGAATAGACGACCTGCGCAAGTTGCATTTTTTTAAAGAGAGGGTTGCAACACGCCTCAGGCTGAAGGTCATCCTCGGCGAAAACGTAGCAGCAGTTTCCTCCACATAGGTCTCAACAACTCATGTGGACAGCCACCGCACTTTCCTTTGCACAAGTTCGCAGTCTTCAGTATCAGTACACAGAGGTGTATGGCTCCACCCAGACACAAGCTCGAAAGCTCATACCAACAATCGCCCAAAAGAACCGCCACCGGTAATGCCAATGCCGCGCGGCGCTCACGCGGTTCTTCTGTGGCCCAACCGAAGCTGCCTTGTCAGAGTAGGATGCCTCTTTGCGACAGCGCTGATCGTCTCCGAGAATCTTCCATATAAGGACGTCGTCTAGCAACAAACATCTCGCGCCCGTAGGCTACCAGCACTTCGTTGATGAACTCAGGGTCGCATTGCCTTGAATCCATAAGGGCAGTAAGAGCGAGGCGAAATCCTTCAACCAGCCTTTGTCTTGGTGGCTTCGAGTCTTCTGCCTAAGCACTCTATCCGCAGTCCAGCTCTCTTCACGTCATGATTTCCCCTGCGTGAAGGCGTGAAGCGGTATGGCTAACGCTGGAAACCCGACGTAAAGCGTGGAACAAAACCCCGGTCCTGCTACCTTCAACATCCTCCCAACCAACTTTTTGAGGGTGAACCATCAGAAGTCAATCGGTGCCACCTGAGGCAATAGAAAGGGATGTCCAAGGAATTTTCAAGAGGCGAAGGAAATTTCAATCAGAGAGCACAATACGAGAAGGCACATACTCACACGCTCGCCACCTCTTGCTCTATTTTTGCTTTGCCCCCTGTTGCACCTTGAGAAGAGACCCCCGAAGATGTTGAGCCAAGATCCGCAATTGGGCCCCCAACGCAATCTGCCCCACCAGCTGAGTCAGCGCGAGACTTTGCCGCGCGCCACCTAAGTCAGCGCGAGACTTTGCCGCAAGAGACTTGCCGTCTTCAAAAGCGTTCTTACAAGGCATGGTCTGGGCTTGAGGTTCTGCGCCTCGGTCGAGGAGTCTCTGGAACCATGTCCTCCTCGGAATGAGGACACAAAAGTGCCGAGGCAGGTGCGCCAGAAGTGTCTCGAAGCAGTGACCTGTCAGAGGAGATGCACTCAGTAGCGCGCAGGCCTCCCAAACCCCCACCGGCGGCCAAGCGCGGCTGCCCAACATGCGAATCTTTCTGGAAGATCACTTGCCCAAGAGTGCACTGCCGAAACGAGATCCTCGCGCAACGGGATCATCAGGTATCCTCTGGGTTGAACAAAAATACTGCCTCCGAATCGCGATAATCCACCAACCCAACATCTATATTGAAATCGACCAGCTGAACTTGCAGCTTTGCGGCTGGAAGACCCAGAAGGTCCTTCAAATTCCTCCAGCTGCGCAGCTGCAACTTCCACCGTCAGACCGTCAGAGATCAACTCTAAGTTCGCTCCCGAAGCCGCCAGATCCAGCACATAGGCCCATAGGCCAAAGGCCTGAAGACCTCGTCTCGGAATAGAAAGGCGTGAAGGACTCCACTTGCAGGCGCCCAGCTCCAAGGAAATAGGCTTTTGCCTCCGACTCTGAAGGGAGTGCGTGGCACATATTTTCCGGCTGCTGCCGAAGTGACGGGAGGAGAAGTACAGGCAGCGTAGACATTGCTCGGCAACTCTATGGCTGGATTCCTGCTTGGACTCTGCACCCTTTGCTGGGTCTTTGCACCTGCGGGCAGAAAGGTGAGATGCCAAAGCCAAACCTGTGAAGGGCAAGGACGGAAGCTTGCCCAATCAGCACGGTAGGGCGAAATCCAAGAGCAAGGGGATGGGCGCCCAAATCCAAGGTATAGGAATCAAAGGATGGTCAGAAGGGATCCAAGCCTAAATCCAAGAGCCAGAGTGCAGGCAAGCAAAGGCAAGGACGAAGGTGAATAGTGAGAGCAGCAACCAAGACCAAGCCAGTTCGAGTTCGCTCCACAAGCCAAAAACGTAAGGCCTTGCTGGACCGGTTCCAGCTTGAGCATGGACGGACGAACATTCTTTTCTGAAACGCGAACTCAATGCATACGGCTAGGAATGTGCCCTCTTTATATAAATATCGAAGAATTGGATCCTTGACGTCATCACATCTGCTATGAAAAATGAATGGTATGTTCAAAGCACTAGAAAAATGTGCCTAATGAGGCCATCACTATGACTGTTTGAGTTGCCGCTCCTTCCCCACCAGCAAGCTTGACTCCAATACCCAAGTGCAGCTTGCAAGGACGGCCTGCCCATCACCATAGGCACCACCATCGGCTCGGTCCTCACCTGCACAGTTTCCAACATTCTGCCACAAGCTAGAACTTAGCGGCATTAGTTTCAATCAAGCATCTCCATCACTGTGCACCCATGTGTCACTGACTATGCCTATGCCAGTATCGCAAAGAACCACCTAGGAGATCATTCTTAGAAGAAGCATTTCCCAATGAATCTCAAAGAACACCATGGTGCAACCAAAAGCCTGTCCGCAGTCAATTGGAGCTTGTTTGTTAATCTGGGTTCTTCTCACGCGCTTGAAATTGCAGAGTTTCCAAAAGTTGCAATCCCTGCAGCTTTTCACCAGGACTGTCACATCTGACAAAACACGTTTGAAAAGTTCGAAAAAGCATGCATTTAGGACATGCCAGGTAACTTCAACTTCAACCCAGTTCAATTCCTTTTGCAGAGCGTTCATCAAAGCGAGAATTGAGCATAGACAACTGGTCTGCTGCAGCCTCCACCCTCGGCACACCACCCTGGATCACGAATGTGGTGGAACGTCAATGAAGTGAGCACGCAAATCAATCAAATCAGGCGTCCAACAGGACTGCAAAAGCTGCGCATGCCTCCAGTTTCCACGGAACGTAAGCTAAATGTTTATGAGTATGAGACCCAATTGACTGCCTGACAGTAACAAGGCTCGAGTCAAACAATACCCGAAAACACGCGGTCCTGGCCTGCGGAGCTGACACAGAAGCCAGCCGTACTGGCAGCGTCGGTCCCTGTAGGCAGCAATGGACACTTGTACAACAAGCAGAACATCGTGTCTCTTTTGCAAGGGTAGGCCGTAGTTAGTAAGCTTGGGTAGCTGGTCGTTTGGGGTAAGTAGTAGCTTAAGTGGCTACTACATTGGATGCAGAAGAGCTCCTTGAAGAACCCCTTGCATAATTGTTTCAGTTCCTAGATTTTGGGGCAGCTCAAGCTTCAAACTCGGTGGCCTAAAATCACCCGAAGCACTAAACTACAAGTCATAGCTGGGCTTCGTCGGTTTCAAGGGCATTTAGAAGATGCATAGCGTCATCGCTGGGCCACTAGGTGGCAGGAACCCGAGCAAGTGTGTGAGTTCTTATGGACAGAAAGCACAGAAATCCAAATATCGCAGGTGTTCGATTCGGTTGGCTCGGGCCAAACTGTCCCAGCTACCACGAAAAGCTAGCCTTGCCAGATTCCAAGTGACCGATCTCAAAACCATGTGCAGTTTATACTTCACAATGTATCAATGTATCAATATATGCATAAATGATCATAAATGTACGTATGTCATACCATGTCATGCCATGTCATGTAATGTAATGCAATGCAATCGAATGTAATGTATGTGTGTAATGTAATGGTGTGTATGTATGTGTCCCTTCCTTGCACAACAGGAGAAAGAATGGCCTGAAATTGAATTCAAACGCAAAGACCTCAGGTGGATGGTTGCGGTAATTTCCGGGCTTCCGACGGGTGCTCGAAGTGCAAAAGAATGTGTGAATGTGTCTACCTGTATATCTATCGATCTATATAAATGTGTGCAAGATTGTGCAAGCCTGTTGTGCGCATCACGCCTCGCATGGCCTCTTTGACCAATCGACCCCCACGCACCAAACGACCCCGGGGGCGTGCCCGTAAACGTGCGCCCGCGAGCGCAGGTCCCCGCAGCGGCACCTGCGTAAGAGCACCAATCATGCGTGTCCCATCACATCCCACCAGGTCCGGAAGTGCTGGGTTCAACAGCAACACTGGTTTAGCAAGGGAGCTTTCTTGCGAAAGGGTAGTGAAGTCCAACTTCTAGGGGAGTGTACCTCAAGTACTTGTATAATTCCTTCTTGAAAAGGCTTTTCCCCAAAATGGATCTGGAACGACCTGGGATCCCATTTCCGGTGAGTGGAACTCTGAAAGATTACCAAGATCAATCAGCTGATAGACATGAAACGGTCAAAACGCTTTCCATTTTCCATGTTTGAGATTGACGAAGCGTGGCCATCAAGCATAATCTCTTTAATGGCGTGCAAAATGGCTATTGCCCTTCTCAAACCTTCTTCTGTGGTCTCTCTTACAAGGATATTGCCCCAACACCTTCAAAGAATCCACTTGAAGGCCACAGTGTCCACAGCCTTGATTTTAGTGGGTAGTTTGTTCTGCAGCAAAGCTGCAAGCGAAAGTAAAGCAAAAAACATTCATGGGTATGACCCATGCATGCAGCATACAATTGCAGCCTGTTGGAGCGGAACCTCTGCTACCAAATGCCAGTCCGTACTGAATCCCTCATCTGCAGATCGGGTGACACTGTCTGGTGCCTGACCTGAAGATGGTTGAAACAGGCTACTCCTTAAATACGGAAACGTTCAGTCCCCTGGAATCTTATTGCCTACGCCAAGAAACTAGAATGGAGCATCGATGGGAGACTGCCACGGAAACTAAGGATTGCATTGTATGAAACCAAATGTGTAAAGTTGCCCGTCAGTAGCAGGCGTTGAGAAACACCCGAAACCGAGCGGCCCTGACCTGCGGATCTGGCACAGAAGTCAGCCGTACTGGCATCGGCACTCCCTGCAAGAAGTCATAGCAGTTTACATGTTGATGACTTGTACAACAAGTGAAACATCATGTCTCTTTTGCAAGGAGTAGAACGTACTTAGTAAGCTTGAGTAGCCAGAAAAAAATGATTAGCTAATTGGTAGTATAACAGAACGGGTGCTCCTGGGAGATGTTTTTCATGCAAAAAATGATACAAAAACACTGTTTTACAGTGATTTCTTGCAAAATCCTCTCCAAAATTGAGGTTTTGAGCTATTTTTTGATCAATTTTGTGAGATCCAAGCCTATCCCAATTTAGAGGGAATACCAAAAAACCAAAAAAACAATAAACCAAAAAACCAAAAAACCAATAAACCAAAAAAACAAAAAAAACAAAAAAAACAAAAAAAAACAATGTTTGACACAAAATGCAGCCAACATCCAAAAACCAATAGTGACCCCATTTTGTCTCAAACATTGGTTTTTTTGGTTTTTTTGGTTTTTTGGTTTATTGGTTTTTTGGTTTTTTGGTATTCCCTCTAAATTGGGATAGGCGTGGATCTCACAAAATTGATCAAAAAATAGCTCAAAACCTCAATTTTGGAGAGGATTTTGCAAGAAATCACTGTAAAACACAGTGCTTTTGCTTCATTTAAGTTTAACGGTGGAATTTGATGTTAAATTGGATTTCAATTGATTTTGGTATTAGACTTCAATTAAAACGCTTTCAGAATTATTGGTGGAAGTTGATTTATCATTAGCTTTCTATTAAAAATGTGTTTAAGATTAAGTGTAGATTGTTTACAAACTAAGTTTCATTTATATCATTGTCAAAATCATTGGGGAAATTGATGTTTATATTAGATTTCAATTAACATTTCTTCAAGATTAATCATAGAAAAATGAATGTGTAATTCAACTTCGATTAAATGCCTTTTCAAGATCATTGTGGCAATTGATTTTGAATTAGATTTCAATTAAAATCCTATTATATTTCATTCTAGAAATTAGGCATTACTTAAATGGCAATTAATGTCCTTTTCAAAATCATTGTGGAAATTGCTTGTTGTTCAGATTTTAATTTGAGTTCTTTTCAACATAATTTGATTGAATTGCTTGTGTATTGGATATCAATCAAGACCCTTTTAGAATTGATTGTGAAAATTAACTTTCAGTTAATAGTTAATGGTGGAAATCAATTCTTATAATTAGATGTTAGTTAAAGTCCTTTTATTTGATGTAGCCTTGTAGTGGGGAGCAAACAGATACAAAATCAATTCAAGTTAGTTAAGCATCACAATTTCCACAATTGATCTTAAATCGACTTTAAACACAATCTGATATTAAATCAAAGCCACCACTAACTTTGAAAAGGACTTTGACTAAAATCTAATTGTAAGAACTAGTTTCCACAATGAGTTTTAAAGAGAACTTGGAAATGATTTTTATTGCAATCTAATATCTAATAAATAGCAAATTCCACAATCAATGTTAAAAGGATCGTGATTGAAATCTTCTAATTTGAGTTTGCCTAATTCTATTTTAATTCCAGTTTAGTTAGTTTAAGAACACACATGTTACAAAACCCTATATTTTACAGTGTTTTTTGCCCTAGGAGTGCTGGGAATAAGACACAAACTATGTTTTTGAGTAGATAGTATTTGTTTAAAGTAATCTCTTGGAATATTCATTGCTATTTTAAAACTGCTTTATGTACAAACTTCTAATTCAAAAGGTTCCCTCTAGATCTGATCACTTCTGTGAAAAATATAAAGCTTTCATTTCAAAAGCTTTCCTCTGGATCTCTGGAAATAGTCATGGTATTTTAAAAAAGCTATAAGTATGTATGTAAGTGGTTCTTTCAAATGCTTTCCTTCAATGAAAATACACAAATCTAGGAAATCTACTTTCCCAGAGATCCAGAGGAAAGCTATTGAATCTAGAGATGTATAGTATTATATCTTCATTCGCTCATGATGCTACATTCATTGTGGGCAGAGAGAGATTTACATGATAATATTTATCATTGGTGTTGCACATTGATAGTGGGCAGACGAAGAGCTGTTATTTGTTGTCATTGACATTGGACATGGAGACTGGGCACAGACAGATCCAAAAAATTGCGTTTCGCCTAGTCCTCAGAGCAGTTTTTGAAATTTTGCACGGTATTTACAGTGGTTTCTAAGGGTTTTGAGCTAGTGTGTGCTCTCCCAAGCACACCCACCCTCTAGTATAAAGGGTAAGTGGTAGCTTAAGTAGCTACTACGTTGGACGGCTGGACGGCTCAGGAGGCTTCTTCAAGGTCCCTCTGCCTGAGGGCTGGGGGAGCTGCCCCCTTGCACAATTAGATTTTGGGGCAGCTCAAGCTTCAAACTCTTAACAACTTTCATGACTTGCGGCTTTCAGGCCACCATGTCCGCCATTGAAATGTTTGATTGGAGCCTGACGTCAATTGAGGTGGTGGCCCAAAATCACCCCCAGCACCAAATAAACTACAAGTCATAGCTAGGCTCCATCGGTTTCAAGGCTTCTCGAGCATTTGGAAGATGCGCAGCGTCATCTGGCTTGTACATGTAGTGCTGTATGTGGACCTGTTTTTGGACGCAGTGCCTGTTCGTATGAATGATCCATTGGTCTGCGGTGTATTATACTTGTAGAACGTGTATACAAACAAATAAACGGGTATTCGTAAGCAAAATGCACATGACGTGTGGAAGGGAGCATGGTCACAAGATAGACCAGGAAAAAGCTGTAACACTACTAGTAACAAGGGCATCGCTACTAGGAGCAAGAAGCTACTAGTAGCACTAAAGTTGTTGCATTGGTCAACTGTGCGAGCAATCGACGCCACCGTGGGATCTTGGGGCAAAAGCCAGGCTTGCAGCGGCTCACGACCATCTAGTAGCTTCTTGCTCCCAGTAGCGATGCCCTTTGCTACTAGTAGCTTCTTGTTCCTAGTAGTAATGCCAGGAGCTACTACAGTAGTAGCTTCTAATACAGTTGAAAGCATCATCCGCAATATACTTGCCACTGAAGAAGAGCACCAGACACCTCAAACCTCAAAGGTTCGCTGAGCAGAATCTCCTGAAAAACCATACCACCCCTCTGTGACACCCCGCTGGCCATTCTTGCAACTTGCGCTCCACCGCCTCGGTCTTTCATCAATGCTTTTGTGCTCTCTTCATACTCTGAATTGAATTCTGGTACAATTTACCCAGCTTGAATTCCGGTCCATGGTCCATTCAAGCATATTTGAATGTATGCGCATCACTTCGCCACTAGCCATCCAACGAACAGGAAGTCACCTTCCGAGAACGGGCTGCCTTTCAGGATCAAGCCTCGTTCAGAACCTTCTCGCTTAGAGCCTTCTCCATAGCTTGCTTCCGGGCCTGAGATCAGGCTTAAAACGATGCATGGGCACCAGTGCATCTCAAAGGGATCCAGAGAAGCTCTTACCGTACATCCGCAGTTCAAACCACAAGATCCCTTTTTACAACAGTTAATCGCCATCGTCATGAACGGCATGGCCCGACTCTTGCCTGCTGCTCCTCTTTCTCGCGATCTGAAAGGAAGTGCTCCATCCTTGAGGTTGGAAACTGCAACATTAGGTAAGACGACCTGATTCATTCATAAACAATCATAAGCATCTTTATGCAAACCTGGAACAGGAACCACCAAAAAGCGTAATTAACAAAAAGATCAATAATTGACTGGCCATTCTTTCTGTTCCAAACTGTGCTCTGGGATCTTCAACTCGGCTGGCTCGGCTTGGAAATGGTGAGGCTATTGTTTTGGGCAAGTCTCCAAATCGCACAGGTGTAAGATCAAACGACGAGTCGCTATGCACAAGTTGAAGCTTGCATTAGCGATAATCCTGAGAACATTATGTATGCAGTTGCTTTCATCCTACGGCCCTTGCAGCTCTCCCTTGGCTTGCGTTTACGTATCAATTTGCTTTCATGATGAGCTTCCACTGAGATTCGGATTGAAACCTCGTTGAATGCCTCTGGTTTCTGTTCCAAGCAGCCCCTACCACGCCCTACCAGCTGGCTGTGACAGAATACCAAGCCTGCGTGCTTTATCTGCCAGCCTGTGTCAAAGTCCTTCGACACAAGGGGGTTGTCTTTTGTCCAATGTCTTGTTGCGTGCTACGTGGACCATTGTGCGGCTCTTGAAACCGTGTGGCGAATGTACAAACCCAACGTATGACAGAAGGATCTTGACCATGGCAGTCATAAGCCAAACCTGACAGCCAAGAGACTTCTGTGAGAAGAATGAATTTTGTCTAGACTCCATGGCGCCAAGCGGATTTGGGAAACCTCTGGAGCTGTTCTGAATTGAAGGAGCATGCGCCAGCTTCGGTAGCTTAAAGCACAACTTGGTGCTTGTTGTGGGTGCTTCTGTCCAAACAGAGTGCACATGCTTCCAGCAAAGCATATGTTGCCCCGTAAAATGTAATGTGTGAGGGGCAAGTCGAAATTCCCCTGGCTACCATGCAATCATGTGTCTACCTCTACCTGAAAGCCCAAGGCGAGCAGTCTCACAAACAAACACGATCCCATAAAGAAGCCCGCCCACGGCCAAAGGAGTTGAAACTTCATAAGAATGATCTCACACCCACAGGTTTGTGGATTTCAAATCGGTTGAAATCCATTAGCTTACCAAAGCCAGATCATCAATCATGTTTGCAAGATTACATACTTGAGGGGTGAAAGTTGACTCCGCCTGCAGGACACAACGGCTGCGTCCATCCGTCCATCCCTCCGTCCATCCATCCACCCATCCATCCACCCATCCATCCACCCATCAACCCATCCACCCATCCACCCATCAACCCATCCACCCATCCATCCATCTACCTACAAGCGCACTCATGATGCAAATGATGCAAACCATGAACCCATCGCATCATCGTCATCACGAAGATTCCAAAATCAACACTTTTTCACACTCTTCACCATCCTCTTTTCCAATGTTACTTGTGTGACCGTTGCAATGTTTGAGCCTCTCACACCCTCTTATCTCACTTCCTTCGCAAAACTCTCGCCTATTGGCCGGCTTTGATTGGTCGTATTTCCTCTTGGCCATGTCTCATTCTACAGGAACAAGTGCCACGCTGGTAGTAACAGGTGCCTTACTAGTAGTAACAAGAAGCTATTAAATAACTCTCTTTTCTGACCTGTTTTGAAGGGAATGGTGTTCACGGAAGCACATCATTGCATCTAGCCTATTGAATGTCACTCAAGCCCTTGCGACAACGTCTGACACCCTCTCTTCAACTCAGACCTACAAAAAAGGTTCAAAAGCTTCTTGATGACTGCAGTGGTTCCAAAAGAGTGGTGACGTCTTCTCGTCAACCCTTGGGATCATCATGCAGTCTCCAGAACGTCAAATCCAAGCAAACGGACAGCAGCCCTTGGGTGAGCAGTTGCTATCGCATGGTCTCTCCAGCATGCCACATCAACTGTCAAGGGTCGAGAGAATACATTGTCCAGAAACCTGACTGAAATGAATCCTCGTGCCCTGAACTTTGTCCACGAACAGGGGTCCTCCTTTCTTTGAACGTTGCAGAACCCAACCTTTTGAACTGCCAGCTCCTTGCAGCTCATCTTGGCAACGCAGTTGCGTTCCAACCAAGTCCGTTCAGCATTGGCGGGTCGAATTTGATTTCAGCTCCGGAACTATAGAGACTGTTCTGAGCGTCAACCACTTCCGAGTGTGCGAGCAAGTTGGGCAGCAATCGTTTGGGCAACAAAGGATCTATATATATATATATGCTGTGCAAACTCAAAAAAGGAACAAATTGCATAGTTGCGAAATGGGTCTTACTCGTACATGGTGAGGGAAAATCGAAAATTCAGACTTTGGAGACACTGTGAGATCCCCAGAGAAATCGATCGTTTCAAGCAAGTAGAGAAAGCAGAGGTGGTTTTCAGCTGCAATCGCAAAGCACATCTTCCTTCTATCGTCAGATGTTAGCTGCAGTCAGCGTCTGTTCAATCTGTGCCCTGACCGATGCTTTGACTGCCCACGCTCAGACTTCTGGCCTTTGCCAAATCCCAATGGGAGAACAGCAAGCAATCCCAGATCTTCCCGCTCCAAAGTCTGATTTCTTGGCTCCGTGCATCTTCCGCGTGTCCAAACGTGCCTCTTCCAGCTCGACAAACTGCCTGGCTGAGAGCATTCGGCCACTAAGGCCCAAAGGCCTGAGGCCTAGAGCAGAAAGCAACACATCGAAAAACTATGTGGGGGAGAAAGTGAAGAAAGAGAATGCCGAAGCATGTGTTCCCTGCGAATCAAGCCAACTGTATTGAGGCAGCAGGCCGCCGGCCAAATTCCATGAAACTGCTTGATGGAGTCAAGTGAAAATGACACCCTACGCACCTGACATACTCCAAGCTTTGGGCCTCCGGGGCGGGAGCCTTGCAGTCAGGTGCAGAGGCGTTCATCATTTCGGAAGATGTAGGGAAGCCAGGCAAGCTGGAATATGTATCTGTTTATGTTCCCGCTGGGCATATATTGTCCCAGTGTCCAGCCAGTGGCCCGACCCAGTTAGCAGCAAGCCGGATGATCCTCAACGACGCGCGAATGGCAGAAGGATGGCTCAGAGGGAAACCACTCCTCCGACTTCGTAGGTTCTAGATCACAGATAGATCAAGCAACAGGATTGGCCCTACGTGTCCACCGCCCAAATATCTTCACCTATCAAACAGAGGTTAACCAGCAGTGATCCGTCAAATCCAAAGTGGCTGCCACATTGGCATATATGTATACAATTTGTTGTGCAAATTACAAATGTTTGCTGGGAAATTGAATCACAGATACCCAAGGAACCCTCTACTCATCAGGCTTAGTACCTTTGAACACTGCTGGCATGTGCATTCACTCTGCTGGCACCAGCATCAAGGGCGTAGGGTTTGAAGGAATGTTACCCACAACAGATCTCAATGATTAACACCAAACAACACACACACACACTCATGACTCAGCTAGCCACTACAGAGCCTTTCGAGAAGTATGCCCAGCCTGCACTGGAGGCTTTGTGCGAGCACCTTCAGGCTCCAATGCCTAAAGCTGTTGTGTAGATGACGATGTTATGTCCTCCGAATCCATTGTGCGCCGTAATGATTTATCTTTTGCACTTGTTGCTTCCTCGTTTGTGATGATAAAGGTCTGCTCGCAGCTACTAACCAGTTCCCATCAACAATTACTGGGCCTGATTACTTGATCCAATTTCATGCAAACCAGTCAAATTGCCCAGGGTCAGCTTGCCGCAACAGTACAGGCTTTCCAAATGTTGCGCATCATAATCAGCCTTAATGCAGACTCAACCTGCAACGCTGCACTTGGTTCGAGGCAGGAGCAGCTTTTTCTGGAGGTGCTGGTGCCTGGCATGGGATCAAGTCGGGCATCCTGGTGGAAAGCCATCCTGCCGGTTGTACTACTCTTCTTCGTGGAATTGTGAAAGTCGAGAACGTTTCTCCCAAGCCAGCCCTGATCCAGCGCCGCGGCACTTTTTCTGTCATTTCTGACTTGTCTTTGCTCTTCCACGAAAGACCTGCCAAATTCCAAGGCGAACGCGGCGAACCCTGAACCCTACCAACTTGTGGTTGACAAATTCTGGACCCGCCGAAAGCACAGCACGTTTCATTCATTCATCTTCCTTCTGCATGATGCGATGAACCTGTATTCTTTATCGTTTGGTCTTACTGGTAGAGCCGGCCTGCATGATGCCTTCAATGGCTGCCTTCACTCCCTGATTGTACTCTGGGGTCAGTTCCCCTTTGACCTGAAGACGTCATGGGTTTACCAAACTTCCCGGAGTCCTTGATTTAATGTGTTTCTCTAGTAGGTTGGAGGCCATCGCTAGAAAAGGAAGAAAGGTCTAAAATGTTTCTCCATTCCGGACTGAGGTATCCCATGTTTGGAGATGTCAGAGTATCCCCAAGCAAAAGATGAAATGCGAAACAAACGATTGAACCTGAATGGGCACGTGGAGCAAAGCAATTGTCAAAACAATTTTCCAAGTGGCAACAAAGTTCACGGCGTCCGGCATCTTGTCCTGCTGATGAGTGGTCGGTTCAGATGAAGAAGTCATCTTCGAACCACAAAAAACCATTAAGGAGCTAGTGGGGCAGAGAGTCCCAATACTCCACTGGCCTCCAACCTACTAGGGATGGCCTCTAAGGAGCTAGTTGGGGAGAATAGTCCCAACTAACTAATGGTGGTCCCCCAGAGCAGTGGTGCTGAGAGCTGCATGGAGCAGTGAGAAGGGCGCTGGTGACTGCACACCTGTACAGCTTGGGCATGCATACTCTACCTGCAGTGACTTCATCCTTAATTATATAACTATATACAAGGCAGGGTCGGGAGTTCCGAGGGGGCAGAAGTTTCAGCCAATCATTTACCTGCTGGAAGGTGTTGTTTTGGTGTGCCATGTGATGATCTGATATGTGGTGAAGTCATGTCGTGATGTGGTGCGAGATCGATGAATTGCTCTGTGATGCTTGCGATGTGGTGTGTGATTAGATGCCCTTGTTACTACGTAGTAGCTGCTTGTTACTAGTAGCGATGCCCTTTGTTACTAGTAGCTTCTTGTTACTAGTAGTAATGCCAGGAACTACTAGTATCGTCCTTCCTACGAGTAGCGATGCCAGGAGCTGCTAGTAGCTTCGTGTAGTGTGGTGAACTGGGCTGTGAAGTCTAGTGTGACGATTTGTGTTTCAAGTTGTACTGCCGCAACAAATGTCTGTACTGCTTTCTGGAAACTCTCTACCTTTGCACATTCCCGCTAAAAATCTCTACTTCTCTGCACTTGCTCCTACTACTAAATCTCTACTTTTCTGTACTTTTTCTGTACTTGTGTTACTTGTCTCAAGAAATATCTACTTGTCTGAGGCTCAAGTTGTTCTTGAAGCCTCTAATTACATTCTGCATTTGCCTTTAGGAACCTCTACAAGTATGTTTAGCGACGACCTTTTTGTGAATTCTCCACAAATCTCCGCATTGTGTGCTTTTCTCTACCAGCAGCGGAAAGCAATGAGAACATGAAGAGTGTAACGCATAATATATATATATATTTGCAAGCTGGAGGGTCTGGTCAAGTTAGCGTCAGGGCCTTCCCTGCGGGTGTGGTGCTGCAGGGCAGCCCGCAGGATTTTCCAGGGGGGTTCAGGTGGCTGCATGTCGGGGAAGAGTAAAAAGAATATGAGGATGCAGGTGTATCTGAGGCAAAACTGAAGAGTCTGGCGTGTCGCAGCAGCAACGAATGACCAAGTTGGGCAATAGCAAACAAGCAAGAGTCATGATGCTGTCAGAGACGCTTCTCATGTTGCAT